TGGAGCTTGTTTGTTTGTTTTTGTAGAGTTTTTGATTGGTTGTTTACTTGTTTGTTTGGTTGTTTGTTTGGTTGGTTGGTTGGTTGGTTGGTTGGTTGGTTGGTTGTTTGGTTGGTTGTTTGTTTGGTTGGTTGGTTGGTTGTTTGTTTGGTTGGTTGTTTGTTTGGTTGGTTGGTTGGTTACTTCCTTGCTTGTTTCCTTGTTTCTTTGTTTTTGTTTGTTTGTTTGTTTGAGTGAAGAGACGAAAATCGACACAATTATGGTCATTTAGTGTTGGCAAACGGTAAGACAGACAGAAACAACTGAGTTTTAGTTTTAATTTTGGTAACAGTTTTACGGCATATGCAACACAAATAAATCTAGGTCTTAAAACCACCGTAGATAAGAGGCGCTACTTCAGTGTACCCTATATATGAAAGAAGGTGCAAAGATTAGGACAATAGTTGTTTGATAGGTAAGAAGAAGCAGACTATACCGAGCACCCCCCCACCAACCAACCACTAACGTCACAATACGACTCACAAAAGAACAAACTCTGCTAGTGACGTCACAACCAGACAAACAAAAGAACAAACTCCTCTAATGACGTCATAGCCAGACTCACAAAAGCAAACTCTGCTAATGACATCACAGCCAGACACACAACTGGACAAACTCTGCTAGTGATGTCACAACCAGACACACAAAAGAACAAACTAGCTCGATCAGTTTCAGACACACCGTGACTGCTGCAGATTGCACTGCTGTATTGGCGAAAGACAAGTTTGTTTAAACATGTAGCTGTTTTACACCCTCGTCGACACATTTTAGACCGCTTGGGAGGCGGGCTTCCGACTCTGCCAGTCAGGGCCAGCCTGGGCTGAGAGGGATACAACATCCCAGCAGTGGCAGAAGACCAGCGATTGACTGAGTTGTGAGGTCACTGGGTAACACAGTTCGTTCTTATACCGAGCGGGAAGGGGGAGGGGGGCTGTGAGGGGTAGTTGTGTCCAGTGCCAAGGGAACCTCCGTTTTCTACTTGGTTCTCTTCTCTGCACATATTATTTTCTTTTCACATCTGCGTTGGTTCAAGCCCCTGGACGTAGACTGTCCTCCGAGGCCACCAATTTGGATTCCTCTGTGTTAAAACTATGAGAAAGGGGAAATAAAAAAAAGTTTGGTTCCATCTTAATGAGAGAGAGAGAAAGAGAGAGAGAGAGAGAGAGAGAGAGAGAGAGAGAGAGAGAGAGAGAGAGAGAGAGAGAGGAGACAGACAGAGCTGTTCCTCATGGGAAACACAAATTCAATTCTCGTGAGGGGGACAGTTTTTATTGAGTATCTCCGTCTTTGTGTTTGAACCCTACCAAAAAAAATAGGCCGGGGTCACAGTAGGGTCATCGTAAGTCACAGTAGGGTCATCGTAAGTCACAGTGGGGTCATCGTGAGTCACAGTGGGGTCATCGTGAGTCACAGTGGGGTCATCGTGAGTCACAGTGGGATCATCATGAGGTCACAGTGAGGGTCATTGTGAGTCACAGTGGGGTTGCAGCTATGTCTCACAAAAACATGAAACAAGGGGCTATGTAAATCGTGATGTGCACTAGAATAGGTGGTAGCGTGTGTGTGTGTGTGGGGGGGGGGGTTATAGTTTACTTATGTTTTAGAGATTTTAGTTTTAGTACAGGTTTTACGGCTTTTGCAACACAATAAGGATGTTGTTTGCTCTTTCTCACCTGTCAAACACCTTTCGTCCTTCACTCTCCACCTTCTCTTCTTTGAAGGTTACGCTTTTGTAACATCTCAACTTTTCACCACGTATTTGACCTATTCGTATTAAAAGAGCCGTAAAATTTTAACCAAAACTAAACTGAGCTAGAGACTTGGACTCACCAGCAAACAAACAAAAATCTCCTTAGTGTCGTTTGTTGTGTAAATACCGGTAGAGGTTTTCATCAGCATCATCTTGATCATCTTCACCTTCCTCCTTGACATCCTCTAGACTGACGCCCTGCTCATTTTCTTGCTCTCTGCAGGAAAAGAGGCCGGTGAAAATAAAATGTGGCTCCTACTTCCAACCTCTTGACTTTATTTTTAAAATCCGGAGTCAAAATGGGGTCATAGTAAGGTTACATTTGTGTCTCAGTGTCTCACTGGAATAGAAAACAGCCAGTTGTGATCGTTTAGTTATAATAAGAGGTTTACTGCACTTGCAACACAAATACATATGTCATTTAGGTGCCGAAGGTTAGACTTAGAGATGTTCCCAGAGATCAAAATACATATAAAAAAAGGAGAGATAACAACGATGGATGTTTGATGGGAAAGAAGGAACAAACCACACCAGAGCACCCACCAACTGTCCACACTCAGAGCATTATTATACGTCTATGAGATAGAGCTCTTTATAAATGTGATCTATTGTTATTACTATTACTAT